GTTCTGTTCGCGTTGGTCACTCACCCGAGTGCCCCTCTGTCGTCCGTCTCAGCCCTTTTTACCCCTGTCGCTTGTTTTGCCTCGTCCCACTGTCTTCAGTACACCTCCCACCTGGTGAACGGCACTACTCGTTTTTCGTCCACTGAGGGTGTCCCTGTTTTTCCCCTGGAGGTCCTGGAGGACAGGCAGTTCGAGCTTGGTTTCCTTGCAACCGCTGTTCCTCATCTCTGCGCCATACTGCTTGCCCCTGAGGGGTTCCAGATGCTCTTGACATCCCGATCTCTCGCAATCACACTGAGGAAGTCTCGGGACATTGGGCCTCGTACTGGATAGCAGCTGAGGAGGCAGAGATGGCATCTTATAGGTCTACAGGCATATACGTTGACGTCGTCGCACCATCTGGGACGAACGTCGTTGGTGGCATGTGGCTCTACAAGGTGAAGCGGCTGCCTGGATCACCACAGGTGTTCAAGGCAAGCTATGTGGTGAGAGGCTTCAGTCAGCGTAAGGGGTTAGACTTCTTCCAGACCTTCACCCCCACTCCCAAGATTACCACTCTTTGGGTGTTACTGCACATTGTAGCTCAGCGCGACTACGATTTACACTCCTTTGACTTCTCCACAGCATTCCTTTAGGGGAGCCTGCACAAGCAGATCTGGCTGGGTCGCCCGCGTGGCTTCAGTGGCTCATTCCCTCCTCGGACCCAGTGGCAACTGCGTCGACCGGTCTACGGCCTGCACTGGGCTCCCCGTGAGTGGCACGACACGCTTCGCACGACACTTGCCGCACTTGACTTCTTTCCGTCGTCTGCTAACCCGTCGCTCTTCGTCCGCCGTGGCTCGACCCCGTTCTTTGTTCTTGTTTACATTAACGACCTGGTCTTCGCCATTCCCGACCGACACGCACTGGCCTCTGTGAAGAAGGAACTTCAGAGGAGACACACTTGCACTGACCTTGGTGAGCTGCAGCGCTACCTTGGCCTACAAATCACCAGGGACATGGCAGCTCGCACCATTACGCTGACGCAGTCGCATATGGTCGAGCAGATCCTCACGCGGTTCCGCTTCCCGTTCTCCAAGGTACAATTCACCCCTCTTATTGTGGATCATGGGCTCACGGCTCCACCTTCGGACGAGCGATTTGAGTCCAGCGGTCCATATTCTGAGTTGGTGGGTTATCTCATATACCTGATGACCTGCACTTGCCCAGACCTAGCTTACCTGGCGCAATTTGTTGCGCCTGGGAGACACCGACCATCCCATTGGTACACTGCTAATAGGGTAGCGAAGTATGTGGCGAGCACATCAGGCATGGGAATTTTCCTTGGAGGGAAGTAGCCGGTTACACTTACAGGTTACTCGGACTCATTGTGGCCAATGAAACAGAGTCGCTGCGGTCTATACAGGGTTACTGCTTTAGTCTTGGGACCGGAGCTGTTTTGTGGAGGTCGACTCGGGCGTCATCGGTCTCCAGTTCCAGCTGTGAGGCAGTGGTGTACGCTGCGGCCATGGCCACCCAGGAGCCTTGTGAGAAACCCGGAGGGAGCCTCAAGGCACAGGAGAATGGTGGTGCTGTGGGCAACTATGGATCCCACGGAGGGGTTAGCCAAGGCGACAATGACTGGAGTGTGCAGTGGTGTGAGGTCGGTGTAGTCGCAAAAGAAACGGCTGCGGCCACGGCTACTGCCACGGCCACAGTTGATGCCGCGGCCACGGCTGCCGCTGCGGCCGCTGCTATTGCTGCGGCCACTAGTGCTGCTGCCACTACTGCTGCTGCGGCCACCGGTGCTGCTGCAACGGCTGATGTTGTGGCCACTGTCTCCACATCAAAATGGCACGCTAGTACGGGGGTAGGGGCCAGTCGAGGCAGCAGTACCGGCGGTAGGTGTTAGCGAGTGCGGTTGGGAGTGGTATAGTGCGGTAGGGAATGGTCTAGTGCAGTGGGAAACAGTCTTAAAACAGTCGGATGCGGTTAAGAGTGGTTTTGCATGGTCAAGTGCGGTGGGGAACGGTCAGGTGCGGTAGGGTATGACCAGATGTGGTCTAGCGCGGTGTGGAGTGGTCTAGTGCGGTAAGAGTGGTCGGGCAGAACATAGCGAAGGGACGGGCGGTTGGATGTGGTCTAGTGCAGTGGAGAGCAGTCTAGTGTGGTGGGGAGAAGTTTAGTCCGGTGGGAGCGGTCTAGTGCGGTGGAAGGCACGGGCATATCCTGGCGAAGGCACGGGCGGTTGCTGCTGATGCTGGTTGTTGTTGGTGCTAGCTTCTGTTCTTGGTGATAGTGCTGCTAGCGCTAGCTGCTGTTGCTGGCGCTAGTGACTGGCTGCTAGTGCTAGCTGCTGCTCGCGCTGGCGTGTGGCGGCGCGCTGCTGATCGTGCTAGCGTGGGACGGCCAACGTGCGCGACTGGGTAGGGTGAGGGTCAGGTGAGCTCGGGCGAGGGTGAGGAGGTGGGAAAAAAAAATAGGGTTACGGGCCCCACTACGGGACGAACTAGAGCGTCCGTGGGGGCCGCTCTAAGGACGAACAATAGCGCCCGCAGAAGCTGCGCAATGGACGAACGGGAGCGCCCGCGGGGGGGGGGGGGGGGGGGGGGGGCGCGCTACGGGACGAACGAAGACCCGTGGGGGCCGCGCTACGGGACTAACGAAGGGCCCGGAGGGGCCGCGCTATGGGACAAACTAAGGCCTGTGGGGGGCACGCTACAACTAAACTAAGGCCCTTCGGATGACGGCACTTGCTGAGTGCGCTACGGGCAACGGGCGACAAACGGACGGGGAACGGACGGCGGACGGGCGGCTATCGGGCAGCTATCGAGCGGCTAGCATGTGAAACCCCCCAAAAAAGCGAGCTAACGGGCGGCGAGCGTGCTACGTGCGGCTATCGAGCAACGAATGGGGCATGCGGAGGTGGGCCCATGGGAACGAACTAAGCTCTATACCATGTCGAAGATTGAACTAGAAGAATGAATGATTATGAACAAGCAGTACAAGGGATGATATAGCAAACCCTAAGGGGTATATACCCTCTAAAATATAACTCAATATAACACCTAGGCTAAACTAACAAACTATAGCAATTATTGTTTGAAACTCTCTTCTTTGTGCCCTCGCTGACGCCGATCTAGTCGTCGTCGTCGACCTCTACGTCGATGCCGCATTCATCTTGCACCGGCCAAGACACGTTGCCGACTTCAGTACATGGAGAAGGGTGCTCGCTTGCCCACTATACGAGGTTTCCCAGGAGCAGCACTTCTAGCTCGCTCCTTCGTACTGGTTGGTGTGGCGTCTCGTGACATGAGCCTCCCTTGCCTGCAGGGTACCTGCTACGCCTGCTTTAGGCTCGTGGCCTACCGTAGAGACTAAGACGGCTACCAGCCTACTTCACGAAATAGGTGGTGCGCACCAAAGTCGGCTACTCTGAAGGTAAATTGCGTGCCGTCCACACTGACCGCACCATACGGAGAGTCACTCTACAACAAAAGCTGGACTAGGTGGAAAGGCACGGGTCTAGGAGAGATTGTAGCTTTCCTTGTGTTCTCTAGGGAGAAATGGCAAGATTTCACTAGCAAGAGAATTACATAATGGTTGAGCAAAGGAAAGCAACAATGACTATATCAGAAGCAAGTTGCCTGGCACACAGGCAGGTCGACCTCCAGCGCAGCAAAGTCGACACAGCAAAGTCGACACAGCAAAGTCGACACAGCAAGGTTGGCCTCACAGCTGGAACTGGAGACTGATGACGCGTTCCGGCACAGCAAGGTCGACCGCGCTCAGCACTGCAAGGTGGCGACTTGCCAACGTAGCAAGTCGACGGCATGCCAATGCTGCAGCAAGGAGGCCGTCCAACGTTGCATTCGCAGGTGACAGCTGTCAGATTTATATGACATAGTTTCTGTAGGCTATAGTGGGGTAGCACATATGGGGTATAGCTTTCTAGGGTTGTATTTGTACCCAATCTTCCTTAGTCATTTTCATTCCTGTTTTCCTTGCTTCACATGGTATAGAGCGGGTCCTGCCTTAGGACCGTTTTTTTTAGGGCCCACCGAAGCGCGCCCCGAAGCGCGCCTTTTTTTTTAGCGACCCCTCGGGTCGCCTTTTCCCTCGCGGCCCCGCTGTCCCTCAGACGCGGCCCCGCCACCTCTCCTGATCGCGGCCCCGCCGCCTGCTTGACGCGGCCCCGCCGCCTCCCCTGACGCGGCCCCGCCTCTACTGCCGCGGCCCCGCCGCCGCCTCTGACGGCCCCGCCGCTGCTCCTGCCGGCCCGCCGCTGCTCCTGCCGGCCCGCCGCTGCTCCTGCCGGCCCGCCGCTGCACCTGCCGGCCCGCCGCTGCACCCAGCGGCCCGCCGCCTCTGACGGCCCCGCCGCTGCACCCTACGGCCCGCCGCTGCTCCTGCCGGCCCGCCGCCTCACCTGACGGCCCCGCCGCTGCTCCTGCCGGCCCGCCGCTGCTCCTGCCGGCCCGCCGCTGCACCTGCCGGCCCGCCGCTCCACCCAGCGGCCCGCCGCTTCACCTGACGGCCCCGCCGCTGCACCTGCCGGCCCGCCACTGCACCCTACGGCCCGCCGCTGCACCCTACGGCCCGCCGCCTGCACCTGCCGGCCCGCCGCTGCACCTGCCGGCCCGCCGCTGCACCTGCCGGCCCGCCACTGCACCGGTCGACCCGCCGCTGCACCTGACGGCCCCGCCCCTGCATCTCCCGGCCGAGCCGCCCCAGCAGCCGAACCGCCCGGGAGCCGAGCCGCCCAACGCCGAGCCGCCCGGGAGCCGAGCCGCCCTGCACCCGAGCCGCCCAGCCACCGAGCCGCCCGGGAGCCGAGCCGCCCTGCCCCCGAGCCGCCCAGCCGCCGAGCCGCCCGGGAGCCGAGCCGCTGTGCACCCGAGCCGCCCGGTCGCTGAGCCGCCTTACTGCATAGCTGCACGACCTGCCCTGCCTGGTGAGCACAGTCCCACTGACACTGCGAGCTCTTTCCCTACTGCTTGCACTGCGTCGCTGTCGTCGCCATGGCTACCCCTAGTGTCCTAGCTTTTGACGCTGAGGGTCGCGCCATTGATTTTGAGGTCTGGTTAGACGACCTGCAGCTGTTCTTACAGTGCGATAGGGCTGACGACCTTTCTCTCTTTGACCTCACCTCTGGCGCCTCTCCTGCTCCTGCTGCTGATGCTGATCCCGCTGTCCGCTCTAAGTGGGCCACCCGCGATGCTGCTGCAGGTCTTGCTGTGCGTCGCCACCTCCCTACCTCTGAGCGTGCGCACTTTAGTCAGTACAAGAGTGCTCAGACCTTGTACGACGCTGTAGTTGCGCGCTACTCCTCCCCTGCCACTGCTGCACTGAGCCGTCTCATGCTTCCCTACCTCTTTCCTGACCTCTCTGCCTTTCCCACTGTCGCTGACCTCATTACGCACCTCCGCACTAGTGACACTCGCTACCGCGCCGCCCTTCCTGCTGAGTTCTGCGCTAAGAACCCCCCCCCCCATGTACATCGCTCTCTACTACGTAGTCGCGCGCCTCCCTGACTCCCTTCGCGTCGTCAGGGACCACTTTCTCGCAGTCTGTCCCACCACCCTCACCGTCGACCTCCTCGAGAAGGCCCTCCTCGCAGCGGAGAAGAGCATAGTCGCTGTAGGTGCTTCTCGTGGTGACCCTCGCACCCCCATCTTTGAGGGGTGCTCTCCTTCCCCCTTGCTGCCCTCTGTTGCCTCTGCTGCTGCTGCCGACCTGCTTGGTCTTGAGTCGGTCGGCGCGGCGTCTGCCCCTAGTGGGAGACGTCGCTCCAGCAAGGGCAAGGGGGGCAAGGGCGCGGGTGGAGCTGGAGTGGGGGTGGCGGCGGGACTAGTGGTGGAGGTGGTGGTGGTGGTGGTGGCAGCAGTGGCGGAGACGGTGGTGGTGGTGCCAGCGGTGGTGGTGGAGGCAGCGGCGGTGGTGGAGGCGGCGGGGGTGGAGGCGGTGGAGGCGGCAGCGGAGGAGGCGGTGGTGGTGGAGGAGGTGGAGCTGGTCGAGGTGGTACCCAGCAGCGTAGCGGCGGTGGTGGTGGCCAGCGCTCGCAGCGGCAGCAGCAGCAGCGCTCGCGGGACATCCCTCCGCCTCAGCAGCTTCGTGAGTGGTACGCTGGGCGTCAGAGGGGTGGGGGTACTGGTCCCTGCACCTACGTTCTTCGTTCCGGCGACCGCGCGGGTGAGCAGTGTGGGGGTGCCCACGCCACCCAGCGCTGCTTTGGCCGCCTGACGGACGCTTGGCGTCAGCAGTTCCCTGGGGCTAGTGAGATCCCTCGCTGGGATGAGCTTCTCAGGGCTGGTGTAGCGATCTTTGATCTTGATTTTGATGCTATCCTTGCTGCTATGTATGTTGTGGATTATAGTGAGGAGAATGAGGGTTACCGTTGTTTCCAGCCCGACCCGGGCATTGGTACTGCTGCGCTAGGTGCTTGTGAGGCTGCTGCTCTAGGTGCCAGTGCGTCTGTGCTCTCAGGTACTGGTGAGACTGCGCTCTCAGGTACTGCGTCGTCCTCGTCCTCCCTCACTTTCACACTTGACTCCGGGGCTTCTCGCTCCTTCTTTCGAGACCGCACTACCCTTACGCCGCTCGGCCGACCGGTTGCGGTCTCCCTTGCTGACCCCTCTGGGGGTCCTGTCCTGTCTCACTTCTCCACTGTCCTCCCGTGTCCGGCTGCCCCTTCGGGCACCCTGTCTGGTCTGTACCTTCCCTCGTTCTCTACGAACTTGGTGAGTGGAGCGGACCTGCAGGATGTGGGGGTTCACCAGTTCACTCCTGCGAGTCAGCGGGTGACCCACTGCACGGAGGCACGCACAGGCCGACACCTGGCCACGTTCTCGCGTCGGCCGGGGTCAGGTCTCTACACCCTGACCGTTGAGTCTCCTCCTGTCCCTGCGTCTGGTCAGGTGGCTGCGTCGGGTCAGGTGCTTGCTGCTGCGTCCCGGTCAGGTCCTGAGTCTGCCCCCTGTTCTTGTCGCCTCCTGTCTCACGAGACTCTCCTGTGGCACCACAGTCTTGGCCACCCCTCCTTGCCCCGTCTTCGGAGCATGGCTTCCCGTGTCCTTGTCTCTGGTCTTCCCCAGTCTCTCCCTCCTCTCCCCTCCGGGCCAGGACCTTCCTGTGTCCCCTGTGTCGAGGGTCGCCTCCGGGCTACTCCTCACTCCTCCCACTTCCCCCCGACAGAGGCTCCCCTGCAGACGCTTCACATGGATGTGTGGGGCCCAGCCCCCGTCCGTGGGCAGGGTTACGAGCGCTACTTCCTGTTGGTGGTTGACGACTACTCGCGTTACACCACAGTCCTCCCCTTGCGCAGCAAGGGTGCGGTCACTGAGGTGCTGATCGACTGGATCCGCGAGGCTCGTCTCCAGCTCAGGAAGAGCTTCGGCTCGGACTTTCCTGTTCTGCGTCTGCACTCTGACAGAGGCGGAGAGTTCTCTTCTCGCCTTCTGCGGGACTACTGTCGTGCACGGGGGATCCGCCAGACCTTCACGCTTCCGGACTCACCACATCAAAATGGGATTGCTGAGCGCCGCATTGGTATGGTCATGGATGTCGCTCGTACGTCCATGATGCATGCGGCTGCCCCCCATTTTCTGTGGCCGTTTGCGGTGAGGTACGCGGCGCATCAGCTCAACCTTCACCCCCGGGTCTCTCGGCCTGCGATGTCCCCAGCCTTGCTGTGGACGGGGAAGGTTGGCGATGCGACAGTGTTCCGTGTCTGGGGATCTCGGGCGTTTGTCCGCGACTTGTCTGCGGACAAGCTGTCCCCTCGTGCTGCTCCCTGTGTCTTCCTTGGCTTCCCCACTGACGCCCCAGGGTGGCAGTTTTACCACCCCTCCTCTCGTCGTGTTCTGTCCTCCCAGGACGTCACGTTCGACGAGTCAGTCCCCTTCTACCGTCTCTTCCCCTACCGCACTCCTTCCCTCCCCCCTCCCCCGGACTTCCTTGTGCCGGTTCCCCCCCCGGTAGACCCCCTCCCCCCTCAGGTTCCTGCCCCCTCAGGTGTGTCCCAGGTAGACGCCGTTGACCCGGTCGAGGTTACAGGTGACTCTGGTGCTGCTGCGGGTGCTGAGCCTGGGGGTGCTGACTCTGGGGGTGCTGTGCGCGGGGGTGCTGGGCCTAGGGGTGCTACTGCTGGGGGTGCTGGGCCTGAGGGTGCTACTGCGGAGGGTGCGGGGCCTGGGGGTGCTGAGCCGGGGGGTGCTGTGCCTGGAGGTGCTGGGTCTGGGGGTGCTGGGTCGGGAGCTGCTGAGCCTGGGGGTGCTGAGCTGGGAGCTGCTGAGCCTGGGGGTGCTGCGTCTAGAGCTGCTGAGCCTGGGGTTTCTCCTGCTGCTGCGTCTCGCCGGGAGCCCCTCTCTCCACAGGAGCTGCGCGAGTGGTTCGCTCGCCGCTGGAGGCGTGCTGCTGAGTCTGGAGGTGCTGCTGGAGCTGGAGCTGGAGCTTCTTCGACCGTCGAGGGTGCGGGTGCTGCCGGTCCCGGAGCTGCTGGACCTGCGGGTCCTCCTGGAGCTGGAGCTGCTGCGGGCGCTGGTGCTGAGCCTACTGCTGTTGGTCCTGCCGCTGGAGGTGTGGGTGGCGCTGGTGCTGTCGCTGAGGGTGCTGGTGCTGTCCCTGCTGCGTCTGGAGCTGCCGCGCGGCCTCGGCCGTACTTCGTTCCGCTCCTGCAGCAGGTTCTTGGTCTTTCTCCTCCGGTAGAGGGTCCACCGCCTGTCCAGTCGCAGTCCCTGCTGGAGCCTTCCTCTCCACTGCCTGCTCCCTCTCCTTACACTGGTCCTACTGGAGGTCTTGCTGAGCGTCGTGAGCCTGCGTCTCGTCCCGCGTCGCCTGTTCGCACTGCTCGCGCTAGTGGTCGCAGTTCGCGTCAGCGTCCTCCTCCTGTCCCTGGCACGCACCGGATGTCTTTGCGTCCGTCCACTACTCCTCTGCGTGCCCCTTTGCCTTCTCCTCCTGAGTCCTCTCTTCCTGCGCTTGCCGACCCTGGGTCGGACTCTCTTCGTGCTGCCAGTCCTACTGTCACGCGTTTGCTTGCTACTGTCGTCACTGACCCCTCTTTTGAGTCCACTGCTGCGTCTGCTCTAGTCGCTGAGCTCGTCGACTTTGCTGCTCGCTGTCGTCTCGACTACGCTGCTAGTCTTGTTGCTGAGTCTGCGTCTGTCTGTCCTCCGTCCGTCGGGGGTGAGTGTGCTCTTGGCACGGACGTCCTAGAGGACAGGCAGGAGGAGTTACAGTGTCTAGCGGCTGCTTCACCTCATCTCGCGTCTATACTGCTTGCCCCTGAGGGAGACCCGGATGCACTAGACATCCCGACTCCGCGTTCTTACGCGTAGGCCGTAGAGGGTCCCTACTCCTCTCAGTGGCAGGCAGCTATGGATGCAGAGATGGCTTCCTGGAAGTCCACAGGCACCTACGTTGACGCGGTTCCCCCTCCTGGGGCGAACATCGTCAGTGGCATGTGGATCTTCAGGGTGAAGCGGCCGCCGGGCTCTCCACCTGTCTTCAAGGCACGGTACGTTGCTCGTGGCTTCAGTCAGCGGCAGGGAGTTGACTACTTTCAGACCTTCTCTCCCACCCCGAAGATGACTACTCTTCGGGTGCTGCTGCACATAGCCGCTCAGCGCGACTACGAGCTTCACTCTCTCGACTTCAGCACTGCGTTCTTGCAGGGTAGCCTGCACGAGGAGATCTGGCTTCGCCGTCCACCTGGCTTCACTGGGACTTTCCCTCCTGGCACCCAGTGGAGCCTCCGACGGCCAGTCTACGGTCTCCGCCAGGCACCGCGTGAGTGGCACGACACACTGAGGACTACGCTTGCGGCTCTTGGGTTTGCTCCTTCTACTGCTGACCCGTCGCTGTTTCTTCGCACCGACACTTCCCTGCCGCCGTTCTACATCCTCGTGTACGTCGACGACTTGGTCTTTGCCACAGCAGACACTGCTGGACTCGCCTACGTGAAGTCCGAGCTGCTGAAGAGACACACGTGCACAGACCTGGGTGAACTGCGCAGCTACCTTGGCTTGCAGATCACTCGGGACAGAGCACGCCGCACCATTACCTTGACTCAGTCACACATGGTGCAGCAGGTCCTTCAGCGCTTCGGCTTCACGTACTCCTCGCCTCAGGCCACTCCTCTGCCTACTCGCCACTCACTCTCAGCTCTGCCTTCGGATGAGTCCGTAGAGTCGAGTGGTCCGTATGCAGAGCTTGTTGGCTGCCTCATGTACCTGATGACCTGCACACGACCTGACCTTGCATACCCTCTGAGCATTCTTGCTCGCTATGTTGCTCCTGGGAGACACAGACCGGAGCACATGGCTGCAGCGAAGAGGGTATTGCGCTACCTGTGCAGCACGTCGGGCATGGGGCTAGTGCTTGGAGGGCGGAGTCCAGTGGTCCTTACCGGCCACGCGGACGCTTCTTGGGCTGACGACCAGGCTACGCAGCGGTCGTCACAGGGTTACACCTTCAGCCTTGGTTCCGGCTCTGTCTCGTGGCGGTCTACTCGCTCGTCTTCGGTTCTCGGCTCCAGTTGTGAGGCTGAGATCTACGCCGGGGCCATGGCTGCACAGGAGCTTCGCTGGCTCACCTACCTGCTGACTGACCTTGGAGAGCCGCCTCGTTCTCCTCCAGTGCTGTACGTAGACAACAAGGCCATGCTGGCCTTGTGTCGAGAGCAGCGCTTGGAGCACAGAACGAAGCACATTGCTCTCCGCTACTTCCTTGCTCGTGAGCTGCAGCAGCGTGGTCAGTTGCGACTTGCGTACGTGGCCTCTGAGGCCAACACTGCTGATGTGTTCACCAAGGCACTCGCGCCTTGTGACCATCAGCGCTTTTGCACCCAGCTGGGTCTTGTGCCTGTCTTGCCTCACTTGCTCTCCTCTTGACTTCACTTGTACTGTGACATATATATATACCTGCTCTTGCTTGTCTAGTTCTATATATATATGTCTGTACTCCTGCATGTGAACTGGCCTCTGGCCCTGCTCTTGTGCTCGGACTGTGTGGTGACGTTGTGATCCACCCTGAGCTTGCTCTGCTTTGCTTTACCTGACTGGTCTTGTGACCCCTTGTTCTCCCCCACTTTGCCTATGGGGGTGTGTCAGATTTATATGACATAGTTTCTGTAGGCTATAGTGGGGTAGCACATATGGGGTACAGGGTTTCTAGGGTTGTATTTGTACCCAATCTTCCTTAGTCATTTTCATTCCTGTTTTCCTTGCTTCACAACAGCAGTACACATGTACGCACCTACTTTGTAGGTGCTTGCTGACGGTTGGTGTGACGTACACCGTCATACAAACGGTATGGTTGGTACTATGAGTAAGTGCCTTGATTTCTTGTATGGTTGGTACTAAGACAAAATGTGTTAACTTTCTATATGGATGGTACTAACTGTAAGTGCTTTACTTACCCATATGGTTGATTCTAAGAATAAGTGCATTACTTACGCGTATGGATGGTACTAAAAGCAAGTGCGTTATTTTCCCATATGGTTGATACTATGAGTAAGTGCGTCATTTTCTTGTATGGTTGGTTCAGAGCAAATGCGCTACCTTTGCATGTGGATGGTAGTAACAGTAAATGCGTTATTTGCCTATTGTGTTGGTACTAAGAGTACGCGCATTAATTTTTCTTATGAATGGTACGAAGGATAAGTGCGTTACTTTCCCGCATGGTTGGTGATATGAGTTGCGTTACTTACTCGAATGGATGGTGTTAGGAATAAGTGCTTTACTTACCCATATGGTAGGTACTACAGATACGTTTGATAATTACCCGTATGGTTGGTACAAAGAATAAGTACGATAACTTTTCTGTATGGATGGTACTAGGAGTAAGTACCCTTTTGAATGGTCGGTACTAAAAGCAAATGCGTTACTTACCAATATGGTTGGCACAAAAAGTAAATGCATTACTTTCTTGTATGGATGTTACTAAGAGTAACTGTGTCACTTGCCC